GAAAGAATAGGTGCCACAAATAACATTGGGTTCTAAATTTCATTCCCACCTCCTCCAGAAAGACTTCCTTAACCACTTCTCATGTTTCTGTACACTTCAGCTTCCTGTATTTACTGTCTATACAACTACTATAGCACTAATACTATACTCTCCCTAACCATATCTCAATTGCTTTACTCTCCAACCCCTTGCAAAGGTAACTGCAAACTTCTTGAGGGCAGGGAATCTATGTCATATATATTTCTTTGGTATTCCTTAGAGCAATCAGTACTGCTGGGAAAAGTCTGTGCCAATGTTTTTTATTTATTTTTTTAAAATGTTTATTTCTGACAGAGAGAGAGACAGACAGACAGACAGCATGAGCAAGGGAGGGGCAGAGAGAGAGGGAGACACAGAATCCGAAGCAGGCTCCAGATGTGAGCTGTCAGTACAGAGCCTGATGTGGGGCTCAAACTCACGAACCGTGAAATCATGACCTGAGCTGAAGTCAGACACTTAACTGACTGAGCCACCCAGGTACCCCTGTGCTAATTTTTTTAACTACATGTTAATATTTAAGAACACATTTGAGGTTTGATTATTTGTACTTACCTTTGCAAGCTCCACACCAGGACTTATGGATGATCACCATTAGGGGCAAGCCACTTGAAAAGAAAACAAAGGAATTATAATCTAGTAATTCCATTTCTTTAAGTCTACCCTAATAAAATGACCATATATAAAGACAAAGATTAATGTATAAAGACATTCAGGTAGTACGATTTGGATTAAGAAAATTTTTAGGCAACATATTCAATAATAGATTATAATAAAATTATTGGTAAGTTCTGACATTCCTATAAATTCTGCAAATTTGGGCTTTAAAGCTAGGGAGAAAAGACTGTAGAAGAAACATCAAATTACAGTATTTCTAAATGTTATGGTTATATAATCATTGAAAACGTTAAAATTTTTCATTGGTACATCAAATTAAACAGAATGGGGTGCCTGGCTGTCTCAGTCAGTAGATCATGTGACTCCAGATCTCAGGATCATGAATTTAAACCCGTTGGGTGAAGAGCTTACTTTAAAAAAAACAAAAAAACAAAAAACAGAATATAAAATTATCATCTACAGTTTGGATTTAATTGTACAACTATGTACAGAGGAAAGACCCTAAAATGAAATGAAATATACCAAAACATAATAGTTATCCCTAGATAATGGGATTGTGGATTTTACTATACTTTTTCTATATTTTCCATTTTTTCTACAATTAAATGTAATCTTTATAATCAGGGAGGAAAAAACTTTTTCTTTTTTAAAATGATGAGCAACATCATCCACCTGAACCAGTCTTGGCCAAATGAAGTCCTTAAGCTCTCAAGGCTTAAATGCCAACTTGTAGGAAAGTCCTATGTAAGCAGCCATGGCTTTCTGAATCATACAACCCCTGTAACACCACACTACACAATACAATCATTGCATTTACTATATTTACTCTATTACTTACCCATCTCCCTGCAATAGACTCGGGAGTTCCCTAAAGCAAAGAACTCAGCTCTCCCTACATGCCTTACATGTGGCACATAGAATATTATTGATATTATTGAATATATTGATAAATGCATAGCATTTACTATGTATTAGACACTATTCTAAATACACATAATTAATTGTCAAATGAATTATTCAATACCTTATTAGAGGCCTACTACAAATCCGGGGTGGATTTGTACCTCTAATAGTCGTAAAAACCGAATAAGCAGGAAAAACTTATGTGAGAAGTGGGATCTAAGTAACCATAATAATAATAATAATAATAATAATAATAATAACCAAAATATGCTACCCATTTATTATACATTGTGCTATGTGCTTTACAGGCATTATCTCATTTAAATCCTCACAACAATCCTAATGTATATACTACTAACGTTCTCATAATAGAAATAAGAAAACTGAGACTCCCAAGAGATTAAATATTTGGCCACATAAAATCTAGGTTCTGTCATTTATGACCTAATTCATTAAGTCTGACTCTAAAACCAATGTTCTTTCTGACCATTACTGTCTACTTCAATTTAGAATCGCAATCCACAACCAATAACTAACTTTGAATCTGAGAACAGAGGTTGGAAAAGGCATTAGAAGTTGCCTAGTCCAAACCTTCCTTTCACACAGGAATTCTAATATATATCATCTAATATAGCGTATGTAAATATAATACATCCACTATATCAAATATAACAAAAGGTGGTCCAGACTGCCTAATGAGCAAGAAACCCACCACCAAGGTAGCCCAACCTTTCAATAGCTCCATGCACTTACAGAGCAGTTTGGAATGCCTTGCTCCCTCCTCCCTCTCTAGTAAACTCTTATTTATCCTTCTAGAGCAGAGATCAGCAAATCTCTGCAGACCTGATCCAGGCCACTGCCTGCTTCTGTAGAGCTGTAAGATACAAGCTATTTTTTTTTTCATTTTTAAATGGTTGAAAACAAATCTAAAAATAGTCCCCCTTGTGATATGTGAAAATTAAATACAATACACATTTTGGTGTAGTTTTATTCAAGCACACTTATACTGAGGTGCCTGGCTGGCTCAGCTGTAATAGTATGCAACTCATGGTCTCAGGGTCATGAGTTGGAGCCCCGCTTGGGTGTAGAAATCACTTAAATAAACACAAACACACACACATACGTACTCATATTCAGTTGTATACTTATTGTATATGGTTGCTTTTGTGCTAAAATGTGCTACAGCTAATAAGCTACAACAGAGACCCTATGGCCCACAAGGCTAAAACATTTACTATTTGATGCTTTGCTGACACATGTTCTACAGTAACAGCTCAAATATTAACCCCTCTACAAGCCTTCCCAAAACTATCTTCTCTCAACGGCTAATTAGTCCTTTCCTTTTCTGGGGTCCCAAACCATTCTGTCATTATCCTGTAAACACCGACGTTTTTACACCATAATCATGTTTACTTGTATTTCTCACCAAACTATTAATTTCTCAAGGGCAAAGACAGTATCTAATTCATCTTTGAAAATCACAAGTGCTGATTTTTATTTAATAAAATCAGTGAAAGAATGAAAAATCTTAAAGTGGTATTTGCCTTGAAATAAAGAATGAAGCGCAACACTTATGGAAGTTGTCATCATCACTCTAGGTTAGACCAAATATCCATCATCTCATCAAGAGATGAGAGAGATGGACCAAATATCCATCTCTCATCAAGCACTGTCAAAGTACTATTTTGGTCAAAGGCATAACAGTAATACATGTGTCTCTAAATGTTACATTAAGTAAATTACATGAAGAACATTAAGTTACACGAAGCAAAAGAAATTCCAGCAGACTTTCTTCTAAAAGATTTTATTAGATGTAAACTCTAATAGTTATGTCTTTTGCTTCCACTAGAACCAAAGCTTCCCAAGGACAGAAACCAGTGGATTTACTGGTGACCCCTGGCCCCAGGACAGACTAGCAAAAAGTAGACACAGTACTTTAAAAACTGTGGTATGAAAGAAAGGCCAGTGCAGATGCAGAACTGTCTCATCTTCAGTTTCCACTCACAATTGTTTAAAAAAAAAATTCATCCATCCAGTCTGCTCTCCTACAATTCAGATGGGGGAAATCCTGGGTGTGTGACACCACAGGTAGAACCCAATCTAAACAAATTCTGTCCACCTGAGCTCTGTCCTGGAGAAAATTGCCAAGATCCTCCAAGCCAGTTCTCCATTTTCTCTAGTCTCAATTTATGCTGTAACTCAAGGCCTGTCACAACAGAGGCACTCAGAGGAAAATGTGAGTAAAATCAGTCACAACAGCTGTAGTACGACACATCAACATGATCTGTAGACCTTCAAATTACGTTATCAAGAAAGAGAGAGCAGTGGAGGTTAGACAAGGAGCCAGGGCTTTCCCCCCACACCTCCTCTGTTTAGTGCAGGCTCTGGCTCAGATACTGCAGAAACATGTTGGCCAGCTGAGGCAGGTTCTCATTGTTGGGATGCATTTTGGTGTAGGAAATAAACTGGCGTCGGAGGCGACTCAGTTCTGCCATGGTCAAAGGCCGGGTAAACTGCAGGTGCTCCGTGGTGCCAGGAAGCTTAAGCAAGTCTCCAGGGACCGCGCGCTTCTGAGCTTCCATCAGTCCTGCCAACACCTGGCTGGTGACCTGATCCAACTGGTGTAGAAAGCTGCCGGAGGCAAGGGGCTGGGACTGTGTAGACTGATGCGGTGGGGGAGCCTGGTTCTCAAACAAGGCAGCCCGTATCTCTGCCAGGGGTAATGGCTCCTCTAAGCCCACCAAGGTGAACAGGGGCCGGTCCCAGCGGTTCCGAGAGTCGGGAGCCTCAAAGCGCAGCGTTAGTGCCTCCATAAGTTCAGGAGAGTAAAAGGTACTGACCATACGCTTTTCACATGTATCAAATTCTGAAGTCACAGGAGCTGGAAGATCTGGCACCCCGGTTTCCTCCGGCTCCAGTTCCTTAGGTACAACTGCTTGGGTTCTTCCGCTTGCTACAGAGTCCACTGCTTGTGGTTCCCTGAGGACAGGGGTGCCCACCGCCAGAGGTCTCCCTCTTTCCTCAGTGCGCGGCCTCCAACTCACACTGAGGTTCAGGCCTCGGTGGTCCACCGCATCAGCCACCCGAGGTCCCCCGCTCAGACCGCCCGGCCGTACGCAATATACCAGACAGAGCGGAGTGCGCGCCGCCCGCGCCAGGCAGTAGAGCTCGTAGCGGAAGCCCTTGATGTAGTTAAGCGAGTCGAGGATGACTACATCGTGGCGACTGAGGCGCCTCTCCACTGCGGCTCGCAAGGCCCCGCGCAACGCCTTCTCACGGGCCGGATCGCCATACACCGTCGCGTCCTCCGTACCCAGCACCAACGCGTCATCCACTACGTACACCGCGCGGCCCTCGGCCGCTAACGCCCCACGGAGCTCCTCCGCCCGCCGGCTCTTGCCGCTGTATGGCAGCCCGCAAAACACTACGAGCGGCATCCTTACGGGACGCGGCCATGTGCAACCGGTAGCGTCACTTCCGGGTTGCTGAACTCTCCGGCGCAAACCGGAAGGGCAAAGTGCACTTCCTGTCCCTCTCTACTCTTTAAAGAAATTTTTTTTTTCAACGTTTCTATTTATTTTTGGGACAGAGAGAGACAGAGCATGAACGGGGGAGGGACAGAGAGAGAGGGAGACACAGAATCGGAAACAGGCTCCAGGCTCCAAGCCATCAGCCCAGAGCCTGACGCGGGGCTCGAACTCACGGACCGTGAGATCGTGACCTGGCTGAAGCCGGACGCTTAACCGACTGCGCCACCCAGGCGCCCCGGTCCCTCTCTACTCTTAAAGGACTTATTGTTGCTGTGGAAACATGAGATCTACCCCAACTAAACCCAGGATCTGCTCTCAGAAAAAAGATGGAAATAAGAATGACATCATTTATTTATGTCAAATAAGCCTCAAGAGAATGTGATCTGCCAAAGACTGCCCAACCGTTTATAATAGGGCCCTAATGAGCATTAAACATTGCAAAGCAGTGAGCACCATATTTATCATACAAAGACCATTCACAAATGCTAGTTCCCCTTCTTTCCTTACACCCAGTGATTCTCAGTAACTGTTTACTCAATAACCATTTCAATCATTCAACTTCTTCATGATTGGGAATTCAGATGAACATAAAACAGTTCCCCCATAGAAGTCTGAATGGGAAAAATAAAGCACCTTACATGGATAGAATACGTTGTTGGGATATAAAAGTATAAAAGAGAAAAAACAACATACCCCCCAAAGTCACTTAAGACTTCATCTAGGAACAGTCATTTGATTTAGAACTTGAAAAACTGGGGCGCCTGGGTGGCTCCAGTCTGTAAAGCTGGGGACTTCAGCTCAGCTCACCATCTCCCCGTCTGAGTTCCAGCCCAGGGTGGGGCTCTGTGCTGACACGTCAGAGCCTGGAGCCTGCTTCGGATTCTCCCTGTCTCTGCCTCTCCCCTGCTCACGTTCTGTTTCTCTCTCTCTCTCTCTCTCTCTCTCTCTCTCTCTCTCTCTCTCTGTCAACAATAAATAAACATTAAAAAATTAAAAAAAGAAAAAAAGAACTTGAGACACTAACATAAATTTTTCTCCTGGGTAAGGTTGCTTGATAATATACAGGATGCCTAGTTCAATTTGAATTTCAGATAAGCAACATGTTTTTAATATGTCTCAAATATTGAATGGGCCATATTTAAAATTACTTACAATTTACCCGAAATTCAAATTGAACTGGGCATCCTTATTTTTATTTGCTAAATCTGGCAACCCTATTCTACAGAATGTGTAAGACTCAAAGTCATTAAGCTGTAGGGTCTGTTCTAGCAAAAGCAAGCACTATACAGTTGACCCTTGAAAAACAGGGGTTTGGATTGCACAGGTACACTTATAATGCAGATTTTTTACAGTACAGTACTATAAATGTATTTTCTCTTCCTTATAACTTTCTTAATATTTTTTCTCTAGCTTACTTTGTTGTAAGAATACAATATGCAATACATATAACATACAAAATATGTTAATGGACTGTTTATGTTATCAGTGAGGCTTCCAGTCAACAGTAGATTATTAGTAGTTAAGTTTTTGGGGAGTCAAAAGTTATATGCAGATTTTGACTAAGCAGGTGGTCAGCATCCCTAAGCCCCCATCCCAGCATTGTTTAGGGTCAATTATAATTTTGTAGGTGCAGAAGTGTGAGAGTTTCTGTGCAAGTATGTGTGTGTATAAAGTAGATGCACAGGGGCGCCTGGGTGGCTCAGTTGGTTAAGTGTCCAACTCTTAATTTCGGCTCAGATCATTATCTCACAGTTCATGAATTTGAGCCCCGTGTCAGGCTTTGCACTGACAGCGCGGAACCTGCTTGGTATTCTCTCTCTCCCTTTCTCTCCAACCCTCCCCTGCTCATGCTTGCTCTCTCTCTCTCTCTCTCTCTCTCTCTCTCAAAATAAACATTAAAACATTTTTTTAATAAAGTAGATGCACATATTTTGGGTCTTTGTATCTCTCCAGTACAGTACAATAGAGAACATTCAAGTATTGGCTTTATCACTTAGTAGCTGTGTAATCAATTGACAAATTATTTAATCATTCTGTGTCTCAATTCCTCTCCCATACAATAACAACAGTTCTTATTTCACAGGCTGAACCAACCTCATAGGTTACGAAGATTAAATAAATTAATGTATGTAAAGCACTTAGATCAGTGTTTAGCCTTCCCTCCCCTGCTCTGCCTTTTCTTCTCCTTTGCATCAGTTATTTGCATCAGTGCATAGACTAAACCTAACTGAAACTCGAGACTATTCAACTTGAGACTGTAAGGCAGTGTGGTTTACTGGTGGAGTGCAGGCTCTAATGCCATAGTGCCTGGGTCTGAATCTTGGCTCCACCGCTTACTAGCTATGTGATCTTGAGGAAGTTACTTAACTGCTCTGTGCCTTAGTTTTCTCATCTCTAAAATGAAGGTAACAGCATTAGCCACCTCAAAAGAATTCTTGTGAGAATTAAATGAGTTAATTCACATAATTCAGTGTCTGGTGCATACTAGGCACTTATTAAATGTTAACTAGTAGTGCTTTTTTTTTTAATATTTGGTTATTTTTTGAGAGAGAGAGAGGGAGAGAGAGCGAGCAGGGGAGGGGCAGAAAGAGAGAGGGAGAAATCCCAAGCAGGCTCCGCAATGTCAGCACAGAGCCTGATGTGGGGCTCAATCCCAGGAACTGTGAGATCATGACCTGAGGTGAAACCAAGAGTCCGATGCTCAACCAACTATGCCACCCAGGCACCTCGACTAGTATTGTTGTTGTTGTTATCATCAGGCAACTCCCCAGTTTTGGCTCTGTTTTGGCATAATCCTTCACCTGAAATTAATGTTAAGCTGATGGCTGGAAAGTGTTTTACCACCATAAATAACCTGCTGAATGTATTTTATTTTTACAGCAATCTCTAGGTCCAATGTGGGATTGTACTTGTGACACCAAGATCAAGAGTTGCATGCTCTATCTGATGAGCCAGCCAGGCACCCCTTCCACTATAAATAACCTAAAACCATATCTTGTACCTTGCAGCTGCTTCCTTCTTCCCATCTTCTAGTGTCCTCCAATGAATGTGATCTCCAAAACCTGGAAGGAAAGAGCCTTATAAACATTCACCCGTGAATAGAGACAAAGACCCAAAAAAAGAAATGTGGCATGTTCACAAGGTAGCCATAAAAAAGTTTTCCTCTGTCAAGAACATGGTGTTCAAGTCTCAGCTCTACCACTTTCTGGGTGTATGGGACCATGAATGGTCCCATACTTCAAGGCTCAGTTTACTTTCATATATATAAAACAGAGAAAACATGACCTAATTCATAATTTTTAAGAACAGCAAATAATGGTTGTGAAATTCTTTAACATTGAGTATGCAAATAACACTATAAGCATGAATGAGAACTTTCCACAGGGTAAACACAAAATAGGTCACAACAAATCATTACTAGCTGGAGACAATACAGGAACATAGATTTAGGGTCAGAAATACAAGGGTATGGGATGCCTGGGTGGCTCAGGTCATGATCTCATGGTTTGTGGGTTTGAGTCCTGCCTCGGGCTTTGTGTTGGAGCCTCCTTTGGATTCTGTATCTCCCTCTCTCTCTCTGCCCCTCACCTACTCATGCTCTCTCTCTCTCTCTCTCAAAAATAAACAAACGTTGGGGCGCCTGGGTGGCGCAGTCGGTTAAGCGTCCGACTTCAGCCAGGTCACGATCTCGCGGTCCGTGAGTTCGAGCCCCGCATCGGGCTCTGGGCTGATAGCTCAGAGCCTGGAGCCTGTTTCCGATTCTGTGTCTCCCTCTCTCTCTGCCCCTCCCCCGTTCATGCTATGTCTCTCTCTGTCCCAAAAATAAATAAACGTTGAAAAAAAAATAAAAAAAAAAAAATACAAGGATATGTGACTCCACTTCCTATTAAATGTGTGAATTTTGTAAATGTAGTGAACTCTCCAAGTCCCAATTTATTCATCTTTAAAATCAAGATAATAATACCTACCTCCAAGTGTTGGTGTAAAGATTAAATGAGATAATGTATCCAAAGCTACTCTTATTATTCCCATAACTTCCACCAAAATCATACCTCTGTTATGTCAAAACCTTTCAGAGGCTCTCCAATTACCTAAAAAGAAAAGTCAAACTTTGGTAGCAGGGCTTACAAAGCCTTTCAAAATATGGCACCTGTCCATCTCCCCAGGCTCACTTTCCACACTTTTTCTAAAATCCTCTACACAAAACTATTTTCATTTCCTTAAACTCGGCATGTACTGTCTCCCCTCCAGCCTTCATAATTACTGCCTCCTCTGCCTTTCCTTCCATCCTCACTTCCAATTTATTCTTCAAGTACAAACCCAGAGGGCATCATTACATCTGATAAATCTTCCCTGACTCCCAAAGCAGCCTATTCTTGCTCCATCACAGCATTTCCCAGGCTGAACTATAAATGTTTATGTGCCTGTCTCCCTCACACTAAAGGGAACTACCTTAGGGCTGAGATCATATCTGTCTTATTCCCTCCTGTTTCTCCAGCATTGAGCATTATACATGGCCATAGTAAGTGCTCCATAAAATATTTTTTGAGTAAATGAATCTTATTTAGGCCATATCATGTAAATGACTTAGTTTTATTACTTGAAAAATATTGAGTGATCACAGTAATACTGTCATTCATTGGCCCCTTTATATGTGCTCATGTTAACTACACGTTATCTCATCTAAATTTGGCCTTGGGGCGCCTGGGTGGCTCAGTGGGTTAAACATCCGACTTTGCCTCAGGTCATGATCTCAGTTTGTGGGTTCGAGCCCTACATTGGGCTCTGTGCTGACAGCTCAGAGCCTGGAGCCTGCTTCGGATTCTGTGTCTTCCTCTCTCTCTGCCCCTCCCCCACTCATGCTCTGTTTCTACCTCAAAAATAAATACATAAATTTTTTTTTTAATTTGGCCTTAACAATAACCCTCTCTATATTTCCCTAAACTTCTGTTTTCTCATCAG